CTGTCCTATTGGCTTTGAGCCCATCGCAGACACAGAGGTGTAGCACAAGCCTGCTTCTCTCTGCATTCAGGTTCCCGAAGCATAAAGCACCAGCACCCAGGTCATCTCAGTATTCGGATGATGCAATCTTTTGTTTGTGGCAGCTGTTAGTTTATTCACAAAGTGCCACCAAATCTAGAGCACTGCATCTGTTCCCTAGCAAGACCCCACACTGACCAGCTGTGACCCCTGCCCTCCCCCGCCCTCCAGTCCCCTCCCAACTGTGACTCTTCCTTCTGCCTCTGTGGATTTGCCCATCCTGGACATTTCCTACAACTGCAACCATCTAAAATCTGTGTCCTTTGAGTCCAGCTTCTTTTCCTAGGCATGTTTTCGAGGTTCGTCCTTGTAGTATGTACCAATCCATTGCTTTTTATGCTTCAGTAATATTCCATGGGGCATCTTAGCTTGTTGAGCCGCCACTTAGCTTTCACACAGCCTCAAGGTCAGCCGTAGGTGAGCACTTTGGGCCTTCTCTCAGGTTTCCTGGGTGTGACTGCAGCTCCGGGCATGCACACACGGGAGTATGTCTCAGTCTTTTCAAGACCCTAAGGCCATCTTGGTCACCACCTTTTCCTTTTAAACCTTTAATCAAATTGGTATCCACAGCCTGTGATGGGTGGGAAGTTGAACAATTGTGTGGAGTTGGCTTTGGACAACACTCCCTAAGCGAAAGGCCGTCCTCACCCATGAGCCCAGAGTCGGGTCTGTCACAGCCTTGCAGTTGGGGTCTTCCAGGGCATTTCAAGTCACCATGGTTATTTTGGAACAAGGATTGGAAAGACCCCTGGCCTTCTGTTTTCTGTCGGGTGGCTTCCCCACTGCTGGTTTTTAACGTGAAGTTGGGTTGTCATTTTTCAAAGCTCTCACAAGCTGGGGAGCCGGAGTGTAGGACATCAGGTTAAAATGCTGGTGTTCTCTGTTTTTTAAACCAGGATTCAGCCCACATTTCTTGGATGAGTGTTCTCTCAAGTGCATAAGCAACTGTTTATTTCTAGAGTTCTGAAGAAGTTTGATTTTGATATTGTTTGCTTGTTTCTACATGGTTTTCATGGAGAAGAGATTTCTTTGATGACCTTGCTCTGACGTCGGCATCGATGTTGCTGTAATGTGCAACATAATGGAAACGCAGCTCCATAGAGGATTATAAATATGCTTTCAAGGCATTGAGCCCAGTGCTCCATAGATAGGGGCAGAGGAGATTTGCCTTTTGATAGGTGATGAAGTTTTAGCAACCTCTGGCATCTGGTGGGTAATTTGTATGTGATGTTTTCCTTGGCAGTTTCTTACTCTGAGTGCCAAGGCATGGGGCAGGGTTGCTTTTGGGACGGTCGGTGGCTGTTGATGGACACTAGGAGAGAAGACTGCAAAAACCTCAACCACCCACGAGAAAGCCCAGTAAGAAAATGTGGTTGCAGAGTTGTTTGTAACAAAAGCATAGACTTGGACAAGTTGCCGCATGTTGTTATGAAAATTGGAGTCACCTCCCGTGAAACACATTTTGGGAAACTTCTTGTAGCATCTGTTTGGAAGGCTGTGAGCTTTTACAGGGTAGAGAATAATACTATTCTTTCCTTCCCAGGCGTCTCCTCTAGGCTGGGCTCATATGAACAGGAATAGGAGAAGCTCTCCAAGTTACGAATTGCATGGTTTTAAAAATATTTTAATGGCTATGCTGATTGGTTTCATTTGTACTACTAGTTTATCTTAGTTCATTGAAAAGAAAGATTTCTGTTATTATCTGTTTCTTTTGAGTTATATCTTGTACTCAACTTTGAAGATAACTTCACACAGGGTGATCACTATTGTTATTCTCTTGATTATGAACTCTTAATTTTCTCATAAAATAATAAAAAAAGGAATTTCACTTGTGAGTGACAAAAAAATCAATGCAAAGTGACTTTAGTAAAATAGCTTATCTTGTGTATCTGAATTTCTGAAGATAACAAACTTGAGGGGTGGCTGGAGTCAGGAACCCAGAATTATTTCCGAGGAAGCTGTCTCTCTCCTACTTTGGTCTCTGACTTCCTTCCTTCGGCTTCGCCCAAATGTGTCTTTGTGATCAGAGGGTTTGACTATTTTTCTGGACTGTTTTGGGGTCCTGCAGTCTCTGGGAAGCCTGATTGAGTGGCCTGGGATCATTCACTCATATGAACGAGGTGATACCGAAAGGGGGACAGTGAAATGTAGCATGAAAAAGGGGAGGAGGGGCTGGAGGATGAACAGCCATAGCTAAGGTCTGGGTGGCACACAGAAAGCATCCACACTGGGCTGGGGATGTAGCTCAGTGGCACAAGCACCTGCCGGGCAAGTGCAAGGTCCTGAGTTTGATTCTCGGTACCAAAAAAAGAAAGCATCCATGTTAATTTTTTCAGGTGCATTATGGAGTTGGATTTAGCAGTGTGCTCTGGGACCCTGGCAGTCTCCCTTTCTTGTGCACATTGTGGTGATTCCCAGTTCCACACCATTATCTCCTCCTCCCCGAGGGAGTGCTCATCTCAGCGTTCACAGCGTTTCCGTCCTTACTGCTAGCCGATGTGGCTGTCTGTGTCTGCTTCATCCCTGGTGGGGGTGGCGTGCTCAGGGGTGGGAACTATATTTACATTCTTTTGGAATTAGCTTCTTGAGATTCATGCAGAGGAGAACACACATGTGGGAAAAAAAAGACTAAATCTTCCATCTTCCTTAGATTGGGTTGCCACTGTTCCCCATGTAGCCACTGATGTTGACTCCATGGAAAGTTGATGTTTTCTCTTGAAAAGTAGCTCTAGTGCTAAAAATCAAATTATCTATAAAATGGTAATAATACCAATTGCTACCTTGGGAGGGCTGTTGAGATAGAGAATGAATAATTAATTATATATGAAACACATAACACTGACTATCTCACAATAGCTGTTTCAGCGGCCATTATTATTATTATTGCCATTGTTATTGTTCTCATTATTGAGGCTGGCTCCATCTCATCCCTTTCCCAGGTGGAATAGAGTGGGAAGCTGATTTGGAAACTTGAATGTGGGCCCCACCTAGTGCTGAGCAGAAGCCGGCACTCTGCGTGGGAGCCACGGACAGTGGCCTGCTGTCTGTGGGAACCGACTGTGGGGGGAGGCTGTTGGGTGAACTTCCACTGCCAACCTGTGTTGCCCAGGGGCTGCCAGTGCCAGCGTCCCTGGTTGGGTCTTTGTCTCCAGACAGGGGTGGAAGCAGCTTGTCCACCAGACCCCCAGTGGGAGGTTCTTTGACTCATTCCCTGGGCAAATGTCTTGAATATCCACCATTAATGACTCTGCTCCCTGGACGCTTGTGCTCCCTGGACACTGTGTGCCCTGTCTGTGTGCAGATCAACCCGGTGAATTTCATGAAGGGGCTGCAGGGTACTTTTCTTACCAATTTTCCAGGTCAGGGCAGCCACACACAGGGGAGGTAACTTGTGGCAGATGCTATCAATAGATGGAAAAGTTCGCGATATGGGGCAAGTAATAGAGCAAGACTGTGAAGATGGGCAAGGGTCAGACCACTCCACGTCAGTGTTTGGATTTTACCTTAAGAACAGTGATCCATGCACACCCATGTCTATAGCAGCACCATTCATAATAGCTAAATCTTGGACACAGCCAGTTATGTCCACCAACAGATGAATGAATAAAAGAAAGTGTGGTATTTACACATTGTGGAGGACTACTCTGCCATAAAGAAGGATAAACTCAAGTCATTTGTTGGAAAATGGATGCACCTTGAGATCATACTGTTAAAGGAAATAAATCAGATGCACGGACCTCAATATGACATGGTTTCTTTCATATGAGAAGCCCAAAATATAAAGAACCAAATGAAAGATAGATAACAGGAAGTCGAGAGAAAGATCTTTTGCAAATGGGGGAGGGGCCAAGAGATGGAGGGAGGTGGGAGGGAGGGGAGGGGCAAGAGATGTAAAAAGAATGAAGATGTGTTAGGTCCATGCGCCAGCCCCCGAGGAGTGTAAATATGACGAGCTGCAAATGTGCACCAACAAAAAATAAAAATCACAAAGATAGAAAGAATGGCAGGATCCCTCCATAGAGTTTAACTCTAGAAGTCGTGTGAGTCTGTCTGATGTTCTGGGCCGTGGACCCAGGAGGCCGGCTGGGGCTGTCGTATTTACCCACATGAGAGATGTCGGCTTGGACAGGGACAGCAGGAGACTGAGCTCAGCTTGGAAGACAGACCTCGGAGCGGCATGGGTGGCTGGGGAGGAGAGGGACTTACCAGTGTGGTTGGAAGGAAGCCTCCAGGTCGAGGGAGGGGACGAAGGCCCCTGTGGTTGGCTTTGGTACACGAAGGCTTATCAGGGTCACTGTGCCAGTTCTCTCTGCTCTCTGTGCTGTTGTCTTTCCTGATCTGAGACCGAAAGGAAGTCTGT